CCACCAGCACAGCCTATAACAGTAGACCAGGGGGATCTGGTAATTCTAGCAAGGGGCTCGTTACAGAGGCTGTTTTCCCCCAAGGAAAACAGCTGTATTGGAAAAATGAAAAATGAAGCAATACAGAAAAAATGTGAAAGAATATACCAATCCATCATCATTGCATTTCTCACCGTGTACTCCAAAGCATCAAATCAACTTGCCCAAATAAGTTTACAAGTAGTTTAGTTCTTTCGCGTAATATATGTGTTCCTCGAGGAATCCTCTAACCTCAAATAAACTATGAATACGTAGTGTTTGTAAATTACTGAGTCTTAATTCATTAAGTCTGCTGCAAGACGATCGAATTCGGAATAGTTTGGAACCGCGACACTCACAGTGCCAAAGACGGCGACTAGATTTGCGGCCAATGTCCAGAGCAAACACGTGGTCCTCTCCCCCGGTTCGTCTTCGCCAAGAATGAGTTGGTGCACCAGGACCATCAATATCAGCAATGAAATCAGTCCAAACTGGACGGTCGATACGAATGCGACAACGCGGGATGTAGCGGGATGACCCAATTCGTTGCGGAAGATTTTGTGCGTCGCACGAAGGTAAAAATCGTATGGGCATCCTTCGGGATTGTTCGTTGTGGCCCTGTAGACTGTCCGTTCGTATGTTACTAATTCTCCCTTCTTGTAACGTTTTCGTGGAACCCATTCGGGTGCCAAGGACTCAGGTGTCGATTTCTTGTTCCTGCTGTTTGATTTACTCGCCTTTTTGTCAGTAACACTAGGATGGGTTTGTTGGTCGTCAGCGACCCATCCCCCCGCGAGATATCCTGTGATTCCCAAATGAGATCTATTGAGCGTCGCGGCCTGTGCCAGCAACAAGGACACTGTTATTACAACAGCAGAAATTCCAATCATAAGCGCAGACGCTACTGGAGGGCGAAAGGGATTGTCGCCGACCGAAAATGGATTTTTTCCGTCGTCGTTTTGGTAATATTGACTATCCGAACGCAAAGGTTCTGTGATCCCAGCGTAAAACAGTACCTTTGCCAATTCCCCCAAGCCGGATTTGTTCGGGCACTGGCCCGTTGTTTTACAGGCAAAATCGGTCCGTGGCAAGATTGCAATGAGAAATAAGTTTTCGACCACTCTCACAAAGGCGACGTTGAGAATTAATTTTAGACGGTGTTCGGTTATGATGGATTGGTATTGCTCCAGCCATGGCTGGTCGAAGTTGGGATCGCCCCCTCCGGAACCGGTAGCGAGGCCACCAATGGAGCTGCTGCCACCACCTCTCTGAGAATTGTTGTTCCGCGAGCCCTTGTTCCCGCCACCCCCTCCTCCTACATTTGTCAATATTTTTCCACCTGCGCCGTCTCGTAGGCGGAACGATGATAAGACGCACGAGCCGGCTACCAGATCCGGAATCGGCAATAGTATCCGCCCGTACAGTGCCATGCTCAGACACGTTCCACAAACGATGATGTAATACCACAAATCGATCCAGGTTGGAGAAAACGAATGCTGGTATTGCCCAATCGCTTTGGTATTGTCGATCGCAATGTCACCAGAATATCCCATGGCCGATCCCGAGTCTTTCAGTGTTTCCATTATCAGCGCGTGATTGGTCACGAGAGGTCCATTTGAGTCATCGTGTCTTCCGTAGTGATAATATATCACGTTTCGGTTGACCGCAATGTTGTAAATATCCCGCAGGACCTGAGCGACGTCTGTGTAGATTGTCGTAAAGTACCGCACAATTCCTCCGCCGTTTTCACTGAGGGGAAAGTTCCAACAAAAATAAAGAAACAGCAGGGTGAATAACTGCAGGACCAGCTGCGGAGACGGACCACACGATCTCATTAGATTAGTCCAGTAAGCCTCTGACGAAGCTACCGCCAAACTGGACGGAGATAGCTCTTTGATTTTGTAGAAAGTCCTTTTGCACCAATCGCAAACCAAGTCATAGTGATTCTTCTTGCTACTGTTGCCATAGTAATGACTATGGTGACTGCTGCTGCTGTTGCCGCCTCGGCGATTGTTGTTCCTGGAAGGGTTGTTGCTATTGAGGTTCCCCAGATTATTTTCGGCCATCAAATCGTTCAGCATATGGTTCGTCCCTATGAATTTTGCCACGACGTGTGGATTCGGACGATCGAATGTCTGGCCGGCCAGGACCGTGGTCGTTATGAAATTGATGACGTTCTCGAGCGGATTGAACTGGAAGCGATAGTATTTTATGACGAAGGGAAGGCTCCATTCGCTGACACTCGTGCGAGTGTCGTGAGCCGTTAGAAGCCACCTCACCACGAGATTACGGGACAGCCACACCGTCACAAATGCCGCGAATCGAAGGTCGCGGATCGATGCATATTCCAGCAAGGCCAGGGATATTATTAAATAGGTTTCGTGGCGGAGGTGGACCGTCGTCGGGCCGAACAGGCGGTATGAGAGATTCAAAGGCATGGTGTGTTGTATCAAAATATCGTTCACTACTACTATCGTATTGCTGCTCTCCTTGTTGATTCTTGCTACTCGTTTTCGATCAGAATTAYAGATGTTGTAATTGGTGTTAGTTATTGTTTGATGTCATGTTTTGAACAGATAGCTCCCCAACGCGACTTGTGAATAGTGTTTTGCGTTTTTTTTTGTCTCGTTCTGAGTTATAGCACCGGTTGGAGTTTTCGTCGACAGATCCTGCAATAGGAATCTCGAATCTATGACTCATTGGATTAAAATATTAATAGAAGTGCATCTGCTCGTACCGTACAGTACATGCAACGATGATGTTGTACACATAGCTACGGTAGGCTAAGGTAGGAGCGTTCTTCGTACGATACCGTAAGTAATGATCTACGGTAATCTACGGTAACACCGTCCCCTCGTCACAATAGGAGAATTTTTATGAATTTTTAATTTTTTAATTTGAAAGTTGTTGTTTCACCTGACCTGAATTTCATTCCGTTCGAGTGATTATAGAAATGGCAGCTCGGAGCATTGGATTGAGACTTGACTCATAATCTTCATTGCGTCGTACAAGTTCAACTTTTTATCTCATCAGCAAACGACAGCATCACCAGAACTGCAATGGGGGCATCTTCTTCGGCGGACCAAAACAGAAAGTCGCAAAAACAGCAGGACATTGCGTATCTTGGCGATCGAATGCCATTTGGCGACGCTGAACTCCTTCAAGTATATTGTGTCTACCAGAACCTAAAAGAACGACTAAAGTTCAGCAATTCCACTGAAGCCGAGAGCAATGATGGAAACGAGATCCGGMAGAAGGCCACTTCGTTTCTGAAAGACGTAGGCGTATTGTCTGCAGCAGAGGGGCGACGAAGCGAGAGGAAGACGAAGAAGACCAACTCCGTAATATCCGAAGAAGAAGAGAGGTTCCAGGAAGCTGCCTATTTGGAAGAACGCCTATTTTTGCTTGAGGCAGTCGAACGAAAAATACTGCCGGCCGGATTTGGCAATACGCTGTACCGAACGTGCTTTTTGGGGCCGCATGACTCCTCCTCTTACGATGGGCATGCGATCAAAACGCTGTACCAAGGAGATGGAGAGGAAGACGAATATGTGCGCATGGCACGGCTAGAACAATTCTTTGGGGGATTGGCGAATGGGACGCGGCGAGACCGGAAAACAGTCACGAGATGCTTGATCCGGTGTTGCGCGCAGCAGCCACCGCCGGTGGGTGAAGCAGAAACCGTCGACGGCAACAATGCCATTGTGAACGATTTTGCCTATGGTGGAGCCAATGCAAGAAATTTCAGCAACGGCCAGAATGAAAGAACTTATATCAAACCGATGGAATTGGTGGATCTCGGTTATAGAATTTGCATAGCGGCAGCATTTTTGAAAGAGGCAACCGGCGGGAATTCGAAGGACGAAGACGACCAAGACCTTGGCCGGTTTTTGCCGCCAACCGATCCACGCRAGCTYAMACCCGGGCTACTGGCCCTCTCCAACTCTCTGGCATCCCTTGCGACGAAACGGAAACAGCGGAGGCTTCGTAGCACAGTCCCCTCCGACGAACTGGCGACTCTTGTCGACGAGGACGATGTCTTTGAATGGGTCGAGCAGGTGGCGCCTATGTACGGTTCGATATTGCCAACATTTCTGCACTGCATCTTCTTTCCAAACAAGGCGGCGCCTCCAACGCGCTCGAGCTTTGATTATCCACGCATATCTCAAGAATCTACGGTATTTCCCATGAATAGCACGCCCCTCCTGTTCAGTTTTGGCTGCATGTCTCCTTCGTTGGGTGGAGAGGTCGGTTGCATCAATTTGTTCGTGTTCGTGTTCTTACATGTCAGGGCTTTAATCGGTTCGCTTTTTCCTATTCTTTTATCTGACAACGTAAATTCCGTTCCATGTCGCCTTCTTTTATGTTCAGTACTATCGCTTGTATACCTCCGCATCAGACGGGCTATCTTTCAATCGACTCCAAAATGCACTCTTGGGATATGGTGGGCCCACGCTTCTGATTGTACAGAGTGGCAAATCAACCTTTGGTGCATTTACAGCCTCGCCATGGAAAGAATCAAAAGACTTTTACGGCAATCACGACTGTTTCTTGTACAGGCTCTTGCCCGAAACTACTGCTGTCTATCGTCCAACAGGAGGAACAAATAAATCCAGCACTCGGTTCATGTATTGTAATTCTTTTGCCCGATCGCGTGGATTCGATCAACAGGCGCACGGGATTGGCTTTGGTGGTTCCACCGAGAGACCACGATTGTTTCTTTCTGAATCTTTCGATGATTGCCGAGCTGGATCAGACGATTTGACTTTTGAGAAGGGACCTCTTTTGGCAGGCAATGGAGACAATAGCGCCGCCACTGCCACCGCAAACGCCATGTTTGAGATTGACAATCTCGAGGTTTGGGGCGTAGGTGGTACTGAGATCGTTGAGGAAAGTCTCAAGGCGAGAAGTCGCAGTCGCGATATTCGCCAAGCCAATATCAATAAGGCGCGAAAGGTCGACAAGGCTGCCTTCCTCGACGACCTGCGAAGCGGTGTCATCGATAACAAAGCCTTTGCCCATCGAGCTCAGATCCAGGGACGCGATGGAACCTGTGAGCTGCTCGGCGATGATACTGACGAGAATTGAAAAAGGAAAGATTTCCGTCGTTTTGGCATCCAATTACTGGTTTCGATGATCGCAATACACGTTGTGGTCCACAACATCCAGTCGAAACAACTGGCGAAGAGGTTTCCGCTCGCCGCTGTATATTATAGAGTTCTACCTTATGTATTCTTGTAGGTCATAAAAGGAACAATATAAAGATTTTGTTTGTATTTTTCAGAAATGTCGGGAAACGTAAAAAAAATTATGAATAGATGAAGCGATTGATCGGTTTTAGGACGACTCGTCGATGATTGACTTTAACGACACCAACGCCTTGTTGATGGCATCGATGGGTTCTTTGATCTTGAGTTTGCCATTTCCTGGCTGGTAATAAATGAAATTGTTATCATATGTCAGCTGGTCGCACATCTGCAAATKGTAAGCTAGGTCATCCTTGATTTCGAACAATTCAACGTTGCCTGTTTCTTTTACTAATTTCAGCACGGTATTTTGCGAATCACCCAAATTCCACAACTTGTTCACTGGTGGAGTTTTCAATATAGTTCGAACTTCGTCCCACTTTTGATCTTCCAGCATCTTCGGTATGGGCTGCAACTTCGCTAGCGAGGATTGCAACTCTGCCACGTATTCGCCCGAATCTGCCCTGGCTGCTTGAGGAAACGACGCAGTTGTGGTCGCTACAGCACCAACAATGGCAGCAACTCCTCCAAAACTCGCTTGTTCCAACCATTCTCTACGTGAAGAGGGCTCCACACTCGACGATGTCGGGGCCTTCGGCGAGAAAGCATCCACTGAGACGAAACTTGTCGCACATAATATTGCGCAAGATAGAAGGAAGATTTGTGTTAGATGCTGAAAGCTCATCGTCGATGTATTTATTTTCCTCTTCTATATTCTGGTCTAATCTGCTGTAGCGTAGCGGGTGCTGTGTTCTATTCTATCTTGCGTGGAGATGTTGTGGCGACAGAGTGAGGAGTGTTGGTGTAGTAATTTTTTCGATTGTTTTACTGATGTGATCTCTCTCGAAATTCGAAATTACTAAGTCCCGTACCAGAAGGTACTCGTACGTACTGTACCGAACGCCACAGTAATACCATACGTTAAAAGTCTACGAAGTAGATGAGATGACGCTCGACGACACATCATCATCACTATTCGTACTTTGGTTAAATACTGTACCAGGTACTGTACATACGAATACCATAGTACGAGTACCATACCATCGGTACTCGAAGTTAACATTCGTACTAGTAGTAAGAATAACTTCGGCGATCGTGGTTACGTAGTACGGTAATGGATGACTCATTCGACTCTGTAGAAAAATTATATGCCTCTACAGTACGTACGTCGTCAGGTTCATTTTACCGGCTGTAACGCAGATTTTTTGTTGGACTTCRAACATGTTGTCACGGGCGGGCAGCAGGAAACGCAGAGGACCGTTGCTGTCGGTCACTTCACAGATGCTTTTCCGTTTCTGAGAGACGAAGCGAATCACCAATCACGAAGCAGAAATAACACTMTGGAATTATATCTGTACTACTTCATGGATAAGCATTCGATGACAGATTGTTTCTCATTCCGAAACTATCGGTAAAGCCTACATTTTTAAAAATCTGCCGTCGGACTTGCCGTCCACTWTAACCTGTAATAAGTTTGATTCGCAAGGGAGGTTGGCACTTTCTGATTGAACTAAAAGACGATTGCGATTTTTGGCCAAGCCTCTGAAGCCTTCTTGGGTCTGAAAAACAAGTCTAACGTACTGTACGTACCGTGAGCCTGTACGAACCGTAGGAGCAAAAAAATACACCCATACTTTCTGTGGGTGCTTGCTGGAGAAGCAAAAATTCAGGAATAATAATCACGATCACTTCTCCGATTTCGTTCATCTTTAGTCGTCATTGCAACAATCGAAATGAGTTCTATCCATCACCGTGGTCGCGCTAACAAGCGACGCCGAAAGCATCAGCCATCTCGCGCAGCCGGCGTACACGCTTTAACCTCTAACGAAGAACGACTCCTTCACCAAACAGTGCAGAATAGTAAACTAGGTGACAATCGAGGGACTAGGGCTGGTGACAATATTGATGTCCCTTTTGGACCAGTGTTTTATCCTACTATTGAGGATATGGAKGGATCTCCGCTTGATTACATCGATAAGATTCGCCACATAGCTCAGCATTACGGCATTTGCAAAATTGTCCCTCCAAAGGCTTGGAAAGAAAAGGACTTTTTCGGTACGTAAAAACAAAAACAAATTTATTTACCGTCTTTGGTGGCGCAGAACGAAAAAAAGATGCTGATCAGGTTACATCAAGTTATTCTCTTGCTGCTCCAAGGGAAGGTAATATTTTGCGTTGTGGTGTGTAAAAAAGTCTACTTTTCCCACTTCATTCGGTGGAGGAAACGTCTGACCTTTTTGCTAGGATGAATAACGTACGACAGTTCAAACTACCGTAAAACATGTCTGCATTAAGCAATTTTATATTAGTGCCTCAATTTATGGGCAATTATGCAAAAAATACCTCACATTTTTTTTYCTATTTTGATCTCCCTGTTCGACTTTTTACTTTTTAAGCTGGGAAGATGGAAACTCCACAGAGGTTCCCAACGAAATTGCAGGACCTGCATCGCATACAGGAGGGGGTCAGTTTTAGAGATGGCGAAGAGTACAATCCCGGTTCTTATCTTCGATATGCAAGCACATTCACGAAGGAATACAAAAAAAGKGAGTATCCTCTTCACGATGAGATAATTCAAGACCAAGAAACCAAAGAAAGTGTAAACCAGGAAAGTAACAACGTCGCTGATAAAAAAGATGTCACTAAGAACGGTGATGCTACGATCGGCAGTCGCCAGCGATTCATTCCCGAAAATTTAGAACAAGATTATTGGGACTTGGTAGAGAACAGAAATAAGGAATTTTGTGTCGAATACGGGAATGATGTAGATACGCATGAATTCGGGTCTGGCTTTCCATTATCGCAACGAGGAAGATCGGTTTACGGCACCTTGGATCCACAAAAAGCCAATCTTCCGGATCCGCAGTTTGGTTCTGACGAATACTTCAGGGAGACTTGGTGGAATCTAAATAACATCCCGTGGACTCCTGATAGTGTACTTCGTCATGTTAAGGTTGGAATTAATGGTATCAACGTCCCATGGATGTATTACGGGGCATTGTTCACCAGCTTTTGTTGGCACAATGAAGACAATTATCTATATAGCATAAACTACCACCACAAGGGTGCACCGAAGCAATGGTACGGAGTTCCGGGAGCGGAAAAACATGCCAATGGTTTGGAGAAAGTGTTCAAAAGCTATTTATCGATGAAGATGAGGGACGTCCCTGATCTCCTGCATCATATAACAACACAATTTAGTCCGCGTCTTCTGCAGAATGCTAAGGTTCCTATTTGCAAACTCCTCCAGCACGAAGGAGAATACGTCGTGACATTTCCAAGAGCCTTTCACGGCGGTTTTAGTATGGGTCCTAATAGTAAGTACAAACGAATGCATGGTGAATATTTAACGGTTTTGTTTGCTATTCATTTTTCTCACCTCTCTTTCCCCCTGGAAACTCGCATGGCGATTGTTAATAGTTGGCGAGGCCGTAAATTTTGCTACGCATGACTGGATTTACCATGGCTCGGATGCCAACGAGCGTTATCGATCATTTGCTCGACCGGCTGTATTTTCTCACGACCGACTAACTTTTACAATGGCTCATCATTTAGATGAGCAGAAATCCTACAAAAATTGCTCGCTCCTCCTTCAAGAAGTAGAAAGAGTAGTTGACGAGGAATTACGACTACGCAAGGACCTTTATGAGCAAGGCGTACGAGATGTCTCTGACGTCATCGAACTGCCTCCTAATCGCCTTGATCAATTAGACGAAGACAGCGCAGACTATGATGACAAGAGATTATGTCACGCCTGCAAACACATTTGTTTTTTTTCAGCTGTAGCATGCGAATGCAGTCGTTCAAAAGTCAGCTGTTTGCGCCACAGTCATTACATGTGCCGCTGTCCATCGGAACGGCGATATCTGATGGTATGGAGCCCTGAAGAAGAGCTGACGAAAACGTGTGAACGAGTACGAAACCGCTGCGAAGCGCTGAAAAGTCAGGACCAAAATGGTTCATCTGTAGATTCTTCGGAGCTTCAAGAGGATGATTCTTATCCTCTGCCTGTAGTTGCAGTCGGTGTAGAGAAGGATCTAGAAGATCACAAGAATGATACCATTAAGGTAGATCCCTACGTGCCACCACCGAAATCAACTCGCAACCTGAAGACTGACCTATCGATGAAAGACATMTCGTTAGTTGGAGAAGTTACCGCGGACGAAGACCGGGACGAATATTCGAACAATCGGGATGTCGTCGTAACTCTTGATGGCAGCGACGATAGCGATGATGACGAGGTCGAAGTCGTCGCTGTGATTGGTGGCAACAAATCCCCCGAGATGYAATCATGAAAATTCCGTTGCATTGGGTTCCATAACTTTTCGTCGCTTTTCCAACGAAATGAGAGAGAAACGTGGTGATTTTCTACCATAACGAATGCCAGCGTGTCAGTAATATGTAAATTAATTTAATGAAAGTGTCAATTCTTATTTCATCTCTCAACCTGTGCGCAAGTGAAAGTATGAATAACTCCGCCCATTGACATCAGCTTAATGCWTGCAATTTCTAGAACTAGTCTAGTACAACTACTACAAGTAGTTTGTTGCGTTGCATGAAGAATGAATGAATTGCCCTAGTACAACAAAGCTAAAGACAACCCTACGTTACAGGTATAAAATGGAAAACGGGCACTTGTCGGAGGTACTACGGTAGGTAGTCATGCTACTAGTGGTACATATAACTGCTTGGTGTTTCACAACGATGTTCCGGATCATGTTCCGGATCGTGTTAGTACCAGTAGTTCAAGAAATGCTTAGTACTAGGACTAGTAGGAACTATATTACTTRCTACAGAGCTCTGACTTCTTATTAGTAACAATATTACGAAGTAAAATGCTGTGTTGCTTTCTCCTGTGTGTGGGCAAGAACTTCCCGAATCTCAGTGATCTAGAAACATGCTGTACCCGTACTCCTACAACATAAGAAGTAGAAGTAATACCGTAGTACTTACTGTAGGAACGTCCTGGAGTGACCATGAGATGATTAGTCGCATTGAAAAATCCTGTCCAAAAATGTGAATCATGGTACGGTAAATTTTTGTTTTTTGTGTGTTTTATTCGATACTCCAATCTGWATATAAATTATTTGACGACGTTTCTTACCGTTGTTCGAAAAAATACCGGGTTTGTTTTTATGTTCGTTCACAATATTTCGTTTCCCATTAAAATTGGTAGAGGTCAAGATAATCCCCCATCATCATCCGGGAAGTTATGTTTGCAAATCGATAGGATAAACAGCACACCTGCCAGCCTAATCCTGTCGCCTTATTTCATTACCTTTTTCGAAACTTTCATATTTTCTGACTAAAATCTATTTCATCGGGGCAGTAAAAGTATGATTAGATCAGGGAAAGAAAGAATCACTCGCCGTTACATTTGTTGCGGATTTGTATTAAGCATTCTCGTCGTCGTCAAAGCATCCTTTTCCACGCAGAATCATTTAAGAAGTCGAAGCGACGATGAAACATCTCCTAATAATGGCTATGGGAAAAAAAATCCAACGTCGCCCGAAACGAATAAAATCGATAACTTAGCTTCTCGCAGGGGAGACCGTTTACTTGAAAAAGATACACGCCGGAGAAAGACACACGAAGAACATACTAATGGAGACGAAAACCACCATGCAGTAACATCAATAAATACAACAACGAAAACCCACGAACCAGGACCACGCGAAACAGGACCAAAATTCGGTGCACGGAGCTTCGACTATTGGTACGATGCGTACAATATAGAACAACACGATTCATACAACGTAAACCAACAAAATGCAGATCCATATGCTCAAACTATCCCCGTGCCATCCAGTTCATATTCATTCTCTCCAACAACCTCCACGACCGCAGATTTTACTCTTTCTTTGGTACCGAGCACCAGCGTCGACGAATTAAATCCATCGACAGGAAGCCCAACTACTAGTGATGCTTCACCTACCGAGACGCCATCAAGTCGATCAACTCTGGTCCCGTCAGCAATCATCCTCGGCACAGAAGATCCTACAGTAGCGAATATTACTCCAGAACCAACGGTTGTCAACAGCAATTCAAACGTTCTAAGCTATCAGGATCAGCGCGGTATTTGTAGTGGTGCCGCAAATGGCATTGGATGTGCAAGTGAGGATCCCGAAGAACAATTATCGGGAAATCCTAACGAGATTGTCAATTGCTTCAACGTAACAGAATTTGGTGTCGAACTTCCTTTCATGATTGATTCCGTGCGTTTTTGGATCGGGAGTTCGTCACCACCACCACCCGACTTAGAGCTCAATGTTTTTGCGGGAACGAAAGAGAATGGACCTGACAGCAATATTCTTTTGTACTCTCAACAGCTGTTCGGATACACAACTGGAATAAATACAATTACCACTACCATGGACGTAATGATTTTTCTATCCAGTTTTTGTGTCGGTGTTACATCAAGATCTTCCGATGCTGGTCTGAGAATCCAAACTGATGACCTGGGGATAATTGATGATGCTTCCTACCTTCGATCTCCCGAGTGTGGGATCGCCAACTTCACGTCACTCGGCGATGTGGGCCTTACAAACGACTTCTGTATTGAGGCCTTGGTTTCCTTTGGGGTAGATTTGCGTCGATAACAAGACAATATCTTTGGATGTACGTCTTTTATCAGGGGATGGGGTTCAACGTTGTTAAAAGGGAGGGGCTAAGTTTTTATGAGATAAACGTAAACATTCATTTGTTATCTCATTTCGCATATCCGTCTGGTGTCGTGCCTACAATTATGTGGAAAATATTGAATGGTATTACGGGTGCGGGAATATGTGTTCATTATTTGCTTCCTTTTTTCGTTTGTCGTCAAGGATTAAGTCAATAGGCATTTGCGCCCAAATTCCATTTTTGTTTGAACTRCACCTTCCAAAGAYGTAGTACTGTAACTTTTTTTTWAAGTTTGTTGCTTGTTTTGTACAAGATGTCTTGATATATTTTGTACATTGCAATAAAAATCAAAGAAATTTGGTTGACTGAAAGCATGAATTGTGTCGTCCGGTAGCAGTATCATAATTTTCAGAAAGCCATGTTGTATTCACATATTGAATATTTCGTACGTGACATTTTCTTTTTTGCACTCCAAAATTGATTTGTCCATCTCTTCGACAAAAGTCAAGTTCAATTGTCTCGATCGATAGAACATCGTCGCATCGACAAAAGGCGGTTGAGTAGCCCGTATGTTCTTTGCGTGGTTGGCCGGTGAAACTCCCACTGATTCGGCTTTCCTCTCTTCACCGAATGTCATCGTAGTTGTTACTTTGAACTCCCTCCCTCCTACTCATCTCCGTCTAAATCCTCAAAAAATTCCTCAAAAGAAAAGGTTCCTACCCAGTGATATTGCTCTCGGGTTTCCATCGCTCCACGATATCGTTTGACAGCAATGACTCCATCCTTGGCAAAGAGCAGGCCCTTGGGGCCTTCTAGAAATTCTCGGCGTCGTTGCGGAGAATCTGAAGTAATCATTTCCGGCTCTTGCAAGGGATATGTCTGCTCGAGTTCGGCGAGCTGGTCTTCCAGTGCCTTTATCTGTTCCACGCACAAGGTCATTTGTCGCAGACCCATAACCTTGCCCAGAATCCCCTGCTGGTCCGATGACAGCGACGAGAGATTCTCTCGGAGTTCACCCAGACGCATCCTCAGTTCCTTGTGGCGGTTTCGGGCCCGTTCGAGGGCCACCTCGTCCTTGATCCAGCACGAAGAGATGAAATAAATCCTTTCGGCCGGGAGCTCGACGTCGTTCCGCTTGGCCCCCTCCGGGAAATCCAAAAAGAACCGCAACCCGTATTGCTGTGATTGGAAGTTTTGGAGGTCGCAGCCATAAGCTCCTTCCGTAACTTGTATGGTTTGTTGACCTTCGGCTGTGACAAAGGTCGGATCGTTGAGGGGCTCGACAGCCTTGAAGCTCCCAGATGGAGGCCGTGTCGACGGTGAGGCTGTTCCCGGAGCGGACGGCAGTCCCAGCAACAGGCGTTCCTTGGTCATTTCGAAATCGGCACACGGCTCATCGCAAAACTCCACTTCCAACAGAAAACCGAGTTTGGCCCCCGATGYCGCCCACTCTTTTGGCATGGCGGTCCCCGGAATTCGCCCCACAGATACCTGGAGYGCACATTGTGCGGTCTGGATGCGGGATACGAGGGCATCGAGGCTTCCCATGGGCGACGGCGAGGAAAGGGCGAGCGCCGTGTCCCGTGTTTCGCCGAGCAACAGCACAGACACCATCAACGAAACTATCGATAGAACTTCAAATCGAGCCGGGCCTCTTTGGGCCGCAGACCCATTGTTGCTAATGCTCCCCCGCRGAACAAACGAAAAGAATGCTATTAGTAGAGCAATCGCCATTTTGCTTTTGTGGTCACACGACCAAGCGAGACACGACGAAAGGTTTCCTCGCTACCAACTTGCAACGCCGACACGAGGGGTGTGCAATGGGAGTTCGCTGAGGTGAAATCTTTCGATAAAGAAAACAGTCATGAAACATTCAAAGTGCACCGATGAGATGGCGGTGGAGGGCATGCGATTAACATGCGATGGGCGCGGTGAACGTCGACTCACTCTGTTTTGTATCTATGTACGGTACTGTACGGTACTGTACGGTACGGTACGGTACGGTACGAGCAGGGGCTAGCTGTCACAAGTCACAACTCATGACCGTTGCGTTACGTAAGTACGTACTCATATTCTTTATTGGGTACAGTACGTACTAAGCCGAATAATAGGAATAACCCCAACCCCAACTTGGTACGTGCTGTAGTGTAAAGTAGAAGTACGTACGTGCTAAAAAATTCAAAATTGGCGCGCTTCTACGTGTTTTAGTCTTCTAAGATATCTTCTAAGATATTCGTGACCAAATTCCCGCTCTCATGCACCGTATGTCCCAGTCTTATTAAGTGTTTGTAATCTTATTTTCTTGTTCACGACCCGCGCTTACGTTATGCAAGAGGCACGAATCCGTAGTATCCTACTATCCACCACTGTTCGTCGAAACGACGTTTGACAATAGACTGCGTTCCCAAAACAAACGAAAGCTTGGAATAAGGATCTGTCTTTGCATTGGACAGTAAGAAAGGCATGCTCATTTAATTGAAAACTGTCGACCGAACACACCTTTTGAAGTCGGATGAGAAGATCCAACAGGACAGGTTAGYGAACAACAAAATAACACACGGTACCAAAATCACATCACAATGGAAATAATGCGGTCACCCCATCTGATAATCTCTGCAATGACGAAGAAGAAACCTGCTGATTCACGGTATCAGCAGCAGCGACAACGGCAATGGCGCCCCCGTACAAGTAGTGACTATGAGGAGAAAAGAGAGGATAGCAGTAGAAGCCATACTGCTGATCGCCAGAGTACAGAGTCCTGTTCGAACGACGGTGACAATACTCATGTCAATAGGAAGACCAAAAATGCAAAGAATGAATGCCATGGTAGTGTAAGCCACCGCGATCATCCTGATTCAAATGAGCGCGAAAGGTTTGAGTCCAAAGGACCAAAGAGAAACAAAGAAAAGAACACAAGAAATCCAGCCAGTCCCTCCTCTTTTTTGGCCTCTGTTGGTGCTTGCATGAGCGTTGGAAAATTCAGGGATGAACAAAACGAGGAGATTCGGGTCGAATATCGTCGTTGCAATCTTCCCAACAGTTGTTATCGACGACAACGAGCACGAGGACAAGAGGACCAGAAGACCGAGGTTGGAGAGGTGATGGTTGACTTTTTGAATCCTAGTCTTTCAATGCCCTTGTCAAAATCCAGGACGTTAGAAACTGCAGATACTTCAAAGGACTCGGTTCTGATTTTGAATACTTCCAGCAACACCAATGCAAAAGAAAAGATCCACTCAACTCTTTCCCGTACTGACATGGACAGAGGTAGCAGGAGAAAGCAAAACAGCATAACTGAAAAAGCTCAGAGCGCCTTTTCGAGCACAAGAAACCTTCTTTTCGGAACTGGCAAGAACACACGTACCGATGGCAAAAATTTCGACCACAATCCAAACAATGGGAACCATGTCTGCAATAAGGACGACCTTGGTGAAAATCACAGCACATACAAATCATCGGGGAAAAAGGATGGAGCGTCGAAGACACTCTATGATCCGGCCTACGACGACAATGGCAATACATTCGATGACAAAAAGCAAAACGATACGATCACCGGAGGCGACGTTCACAATATCAGTAACGTCACCGTTCCTTTGCCTTCCATATTGCGAAACGAAAACAACAAGGGTGATTTTGCCAATACCGAAATTGGCTACACCACCATTGCTAGCGAAAACGATATGGGGGGTCACCGTGAAATTCAATATTGGCGCCAGCGACTCAATCATTCTTCGCAATACAATGGGAAGAAACATTCGTCTACGGCCGACGCCTTCTTGAACCTGGGGCTTGCCCAGTTGAAACTCCAGGGTAGCAGCAGCAACAACAACATTAATAACATCACCGATCCCTCGCATCTCTACCAGAATTCCAATCACCAGAACGACGCGAAAAAACGACACCAGTACGATTTGGCTGTTGAAAATCTGACCATTGCCCATGAGATTTTCGAAGGCCTGTATGGCCCTCATCACTTGGCCGTAGGTCGGGCTCTCGATGCGCTGGGGCTCGCCATCGTGCGGCGAGCGAACCATGAGAAGGCAAGCAATCGCACCCAGGAAAAAGGAAACAGCGGCCACCAACCAACATCACCTAGGAACCATAGCAATACTACCACTGCAATCGAGAAGGAGCTGAGCTATGCGCAGCGCTTGCTGGAAGACGCCTTAGCGCTCCGAGCCCACCACCTGGGGGTCTGGCACGTGGATACGGTTGAAACCTACAACAAACTAGCGGGGGTCCACCTGCACCTTGGCCAGGTTCAGGCCGCCGCCACTGCCTACCATGAAGTCTTCTTGGTGCGGCGCGCTATTTTTGGGGCAAATCATCCGAGTGTCGCAATTTCCGCCCATTCACTTGCAAACTGTTACTACCGGTTGGGGGACGTGCCACAATCGTTGAAGTGGTACCAGACCTCGCTCAATGTCTACGAAACCATGGGGCTTCCATACAGGCATCCCACCGTAGCAAAACTCCTGAAGGATCGATCGAGGTTGGAGCAATACATGGAGAGTTGAGTTGGTTTGTCACCGATGGGTACAATTGATACGGATGAAACCTACAACAAACTAGCGGGGGTCCACCTACACCTAGGCCAGGTCCGGGCCGCCGCCACTGCTTACCATGAAGTCTTCTTGGTGYGGCGCGCTATTTTTGGGGAAATCACCCGAGCGTCGCAATTTCAACCCATTCATTTGCAAACTGTTACTACCGATTGGGGGGCGTGCCACAATCGCTGAGTTGGTTTGTCACCAACGGGTGCAA